CTTGTCTTCATTAAACGCATCGAACTCTTCTTCACTCTCACTGTCTTGGATATTTTTCCCATGCTCCTCCCCTTTCACCTTCCCCTTGGTTTTGTTGCAGACATATTTTAGTGCCCTATATAATGAGTCATGAGTTCTCGCAAATGACTCATTTGTATAATTGGTCTATAATTGGCCTCATTATTTTTCAATGCCTCTTTGATCTCATTCCTTGCTTTTTGTAACTCTCCGTATAAAAACCCCATTGATGGCTTTTATCCCCATCCACAAGTTGAAGCACCTTAAATAAAGGTTCAAATACTCTCAAGCAAAGTGAGAACCCATTCCAAAAGTGTGAACTCACCATGGTAGCATATGCCACTTTCTTCTTTGTACTCTTGGAATGTTTGCATTGTTCTCATTCATCACTAGCAACCATGATCCTCAAGTCCTTTCTCTTATCACTCAAGCTTTGCAAAGTTAGGAAAGAAGTTGCAAATCTATCGACTTCGGGTCTCACAATGTCTATTTTCTTCGTACGCCTTCTCATCAATGTCAATTTTTTATGATGTGCATAAATAAAGATAGTAAACGTCTTTGCTTTATCAATCACTCCTTTGAACCTAAGTAGGTTACCAATTCCTTGAAGCATAAGGTTCAAACTGTGAGTGGCACATGGTGTCCAAAACATGTTTGGCCTCTTTTCCATCATCATCTTGGCCGTCATCATATTGTTAGAAGCATTGTTGGTCACCACTTGAACTACATTTAGTGGCCCAACGTCTTCGACACACTTGTCAACATATTCAAAGATGTAGTCCTTGGTGTGCTTCACTAGAGCATTCCTCGGAAGAAATAAATATTATGCTTTCTTTGCAATTGACACAAATATTCATTATGCTTCTTTTTGGTTGCTCCAAACGTCGGTTATAATTGAGCAACCATTCAAAACCCACTTTTGTTCATGCTTCACTAGGAATTGTTTTACTCATTACCTCTTCTTTCAATAATGGCTCCCTCAAATCATATTGACTTGGAGGTTGATAACCTGGGCCAAATTAACCAACCGCTTCCACAAAGCGTTTGAAGCTATCAATAGCTTGAAAAGGAATACCGGCTTTATACACCCATCGAGCCAAATATTGATCCACTTGATGTGTTCTATCCTTCCAAATTGCATCATGGAGATTTTGTTATCGCTTACTCTTGCTTTCATGATTTTGAAGAATCGGGATTGATGGTGGATCCAAACCTATTCATAGGCCCACCACTAACTTCAATGTTTTCATTTTCTTCTTCAACATGTGGAAGTTGAACCTCTTCCCTCGCTTCTCCACTTCCCCACTTCCCACTTCCTCATTGTGCTTATTTCTATCTTCTTCCTTTTTTGCTTCTTCTAAAGCGGCTTTACATTTTGCTTTATCATCATTGGAAGACTTTATTTCCCTTGATGTTAGCTATGGTTGTTTCATTCTAAAAGCTCCACCACTGACTATTTTATTACACAACTTACATCGCACCTTATCTGAGTTTAAAGATCTACCAACACTATATTCCCAGCCCACATTGTCTGAAGCACGCTTTAATGGATTATCTGATTGGGAGCACGACATTGCATTAGATGCTTTAGATGATGCAGTGTCCTGCCATCTAAAATTAAAATTCAATTATCACTACAAATAAGATTATACAACAAACTGCACTACAAATTCACTACAATTAAAATTTCATTATCAAATTTACTTCAACATATTTATACTGTTTAATATTTATACAAACAAAGTTACAAATGTCATATCCCTACAAAATGTGCAGAGAATCTATAGGTACTTCAATACTTAAATAAATCCATTAATCATTATCAAATGCACAAATATCATATCCCTATTACAAATGAAGATCAGAGTGAAGCCACCCACTGGAATTCCTATGCTTATATAATGGCAAACCACGACGCCTTATATAAATTGCCAAGTGCAAACTTATATTTGATATGGAAACAGGGATGATTTTGAGAAACAGGGATGCAAAAAAGAATCATTATACATATACAAATAAAGAGGGAAAAAGCTTTGTGAGAGGTTTTATTTTGCTATTGCTCTCTGCGTGAATTTGTGGAATTAAAATTGCCCAACTACCCCAAAAGCTTTCCCAAACCTCTGTGCTTTTCTTGCAACTGAACTACCCCAAGAAGAAGTTTAATACGAATCACGATGAAGGCTAAAATGTTAATCTGGCAAATTCATAACAATTGGAATATATAGTATACATATAACAAAGAGATGATTTTCACACGAACCAAATAAAGACAATCGCAAGGCTTAGTTTCGAGATTTCTCATAAATAATTGAAATTATTGTATAGAAGTCAATCATCACAACTGGCATCAATCAGATGTAGAACCATTCAGAAAATCAAAATTTTGTACCAAAAAAAGGCCCTGGACTGTGGAAATGCAAACCTACAAGTTGGAGATTTGAGAGCTTTTTCACCGTGGAAATTTAGAATTGCAGATGCGGATTATAGGATTTGTATCTTCAAGAGATGATGGCCCAAAGAAGAATTCGAGAGTCAAGAGATGATGCCTATCAAAGAATTTGAGATTAGAGAGTCGAGATGGCCGACGAGAGAGAATTGTGTAGAACTAAGTTTGATACTTCAGGAAAAGGAAAACTAATGAAAAAGACTTGAAAACTTTGAGTTTTAATGATAAGAACAAAATAAAGGTAAAGTGAATGGTACCAGGATTGACTTTTTAGTGTAAAAATATGGTTTTTCGTTAAAGTGAACAGTACTTGGAAGCTTAAGTTCCCTTTAGGAAATTAGGTTAATAGGATTGGACACAAGAACTTAATTGACTTAATTAATTTTTAATTTAAAAAACACAAAAACCGTCTAACTCTGCCTAGGGTCGCCTAAGCGGCTGCTTAGCTCCCGATCGATTTTTTGAAACGTTTTGCACAAAATCGTGATGGGCTTTCATCGCCCAGTGCCTAGGCGGCCACGTAGGCCGATTTTTAGAACACTGGCTATTAAGCATAACCCTTGCCAAATGATCATCGATCCCAAATTTTATTAAATGATTCGACTCCTTCACTATCATAGAATCTCATTGTGGTTGATGCGATACCTCTCCCTTCGTTACCTGACAAAAATCCTCAAACCCCTTGTTGCGTTCCTCTTCCATTTAAGCATTTTCCTCCCCGGAACACTTGTACAACTCAATATGGTTGTGACACTTCTGCGACAATTCAAAATTTAGGAATGAGATCTTTCGCCAGATGTGTCAACCTTCATTTTCTGCTTGCTTGCACGGTAGAGCGTTTCATTGACTTTACTGTTGAGGTCCACAAGCTCTTTTTCTTCCGTCATTTGCTTGTGGTTCCAATACTCGACGACTCTTGTCTCATAATCGAGTCTCCCACAAACCTGATATATATTTTCCAGTAGTGTCGTTGAGTCGATAGAGCTAAACAATGACGTAGGATTTGCCTTAGGTGACCTCAGAAGTGGAGAAGGTTCTATGTTGTACCACCGGTGGAACTCGGCATTAAAACCCTCTGTTTCATGTTTGAACTTGGACATGTATGTCATGTGAACTGTTTTGGCTAATTGAGAAGTGGAATGCCTTTTTTGTTATAGGGTTTGTGGGACCATGATTTTCCAAGGCTGGAGTAAGGCTAATCCGAATACTGTTACCTTAGAAGTCCAATCATGGACTCACCAGCTCTGCCCGGAGTTGTATCAGATGAAGCAGGGTACCACTATCACTCTACTACGAGGTAATATGTGGAGTCTGCTGGATGACTATGCTTGTTCCGCAAGATGCACGGTCTGATCTGGATGTGGACACAATCAAGTCCTATAAGTCTTGGAGTCCCTACAATCTAAAGATAGGCGTGCACTCCTAAGAGGATGCAATATCTACTTATTAGATATCCTTTAAGATTCTCCCGACCTAGAGCCAGGATTTTATCCTAAAAAGGTCTCATTTCCACCGTATAAATACACACATCTAGGGTTCATCTATGGTAACGTAATCTATACACTTGAATTCTCTTACCTACTGCCTGACTCTCAAATCATTCACAAACTTGACTGTCGGATAGCCTTTGGCTGACACACCCCCTGACTTAAGGTTTGTTTATGGTTGTTTTATTGTTTTGCAGGTTGCTCAGATTATGCGGATTTGTACTCAACCACCCCCACGGAGGTGCGCATATTTGGTTTTGACAATCCTCTCAGTCAACAGAAGCCTTTTTAGACCCTATGAACCTAGAATATCATGCAACCGTGCAAAGTTCTCTCTCATGCTAAACTAATAAACTTCTAGTTTACACACCATGCATCACTTGAGCAAGCCATTATTTACTTAATCATGCTATCTTTGAGTCATTGATCTAACTGGAATATTTCCTAAGACGTGTTAATTCTTTTGAAATATTCTGTGACTTGGTACAAAAGCGAATCAAGAGAAGCAAAAGAGTACTCACAAAGCCCCAATCCACCTCAAACTAAAGTCCCCCAACAAATAAATTTATAAATTTGATTTTTTTTTTTAAATTGAATTTGGACTGTTGGTGAACCAGTGGTCTAACCATGTAAGTCATCCGATTAATAAAATAGTCATTAGTCTTTCTGCAAGTGGTTGGCAACGTTAACAACTGGGACTTAGCCAACATTGGCTCATTTTCTAGGCTAGATTTGACAAAAAATAAGTTTAAACAAAATTTTTTTTAGGGCTGTGTTATCCACACACCTCTTTTTACTTCTTCCACATCCTTTGTTAATTTCTGTCATTTGATATTTTTCAATTTATCCAATCGGACGGTTAAAAATTAAAAAGGTAAAAAGGGATGGTGTGGATATATCACACCCTTTTTTTTTTGTTAGCCCAATAATAGAACAAGTTTGGACGAGTTCAAACTTAAATTTTGCGTCTTGACGATCCATTTGGTGTTGGTGTGAACATTTCTCCAATTGTTAACATGCAGTTGGTTCAATAGTTACAGAGAGACAGGAGCAATAGGGCAAAAATGGTGAAACCCTCCATTGAAATCACAGAGGACTTCGCTTCCGCAGCAAAAATTGCAGACGACATTCCTCGGGAAGACGTAATCAGAGTTCTGAACTTTCTACAAGGAGTTGGGATCTCGGACCCTGTCCCAGATGAGTTCGATGCTAGAAAGGATACCTACTCCGACATCATTCGTGACCTCCTGAAGCCCCTTCACATATCCCGTGGTCGTGTCACCTGCCTCGTATCTGTGAAGCCTGCTGTCACTGTAATGTATCTTCCCCTCTTTTGTTTCAACTTTTAGTTTTCAGTGGTTCTGTTTGGTTGCTCAGAAAATTCTAGAAATGGGTTATTTATTCCCAAAAGTAGGAAAATTTGAGGGATAGGATTGGACCCTTTTGGGATTTATTTGATTTGAATTGGGTCTTGATTGTTTTTGGTAACTGGTTTGACTGAATTGAGCTGTGTGCTTGTTTGGTTGCTGAGAAAATTTAGGGAAGGAAGACAATGTTGCTTGATTTAAAAGGGTGTTTGTGTAACCAAACTAATGATCGGCTTAGATCCATTCTATTAGCTTGTCTGATTGAGACTTTGATCTAAAGCAAAGCAAAGATGCTTTGTTAGACTCCATTTCAAAGCTATTAACTTCGTCATCGAATTCCGCCATTTTGCTCACTAATGTGCACTTGTATTTCAATTTGACGTCTGTTTCAATTGTTCTTGTATTTTGGGTTAATTTTGTTGTGTTTTGGTTTGTTGTCTTTGAAACCTAACAAACGTAATGATGTTTTATTGATGAATATGCAGAATTTCTATTCCGGATTTCATGGAGGAGCTATTGCTGCTGTTGCTGAGGTTGTGTCCGTAGCTTGTGCAAGAACTGTCGTGGCTAATGATAAGGAGCTTTTTCTGGGGGAACTGAGCGTTTCTTACCTCTCTAGTGCAACAAAGAATGTAAGTCCCATAGAATTTACATTTGTTTTTTTTTAAATGTCGCTATATAAAGTTTGATGCACCTGCCAAAATAGAGTGGAATGAATTCAAAACTTTACTATAGATTATTTAGCGGTCTTCGTTGGAGATTGAATGGTCTTCTGAGGAATTTCAAATGGTAATTGTATTGGTATAGAATGTCAAAGGAAGAAATTAGGATTTTGGATCTTGTTGGCGCTTAAAACTTGTAAATTGTGATGAGGATTTGTACCTTCTGTGTGCAATTCCTTGAATGTCAAGGGTCTGCCTTTCGTGCATCTTGATGCAGAGAACTTATACTTCTATTATTCTTGAGTTGTTTCTTCTTTTTGTTAATAAAATCTCTTACTAATTAAAAAAAGGTTGCTCGCTGTACTTTGAATCCACTTTCTGAAGATGCCAATGTGGAATTGTGTTCTCACAGGCTGTGATACCAACTGAAATGGGCCAAAAATTGGGATATAAAGACGGTGCTAAGTTTCCAAACCTTAAACGACATAATCGTGGCCGTATCATACTTGATTGACTCAGGCTGATAGTGGTTTTGAAACCCCCAAACTCTGTTTAGGTATAGGTTCCAAGAATAACTGCCCAAGTTGCACACAATGCTCCCAGACTTTGATGAAACTATTAAAAAATTAAGCAGGTATTCAATTTGTTTTTGGACATCGGTGAAGGTGCAATCAGCTAACCACGACATTCATGCTGTTATTCGTGCTGTTCATTTCTTTCTGTTTTGATTATAGTTTGCGTTATTCATGCTGTTCATTTCTTTCTGTTTCGATTTTCACTTTACCTGACGGGACTTTTACAGGAAGAGGTGATAGTTGATGCAACTGTTGTTCGGAGTGGAAGAAATCTGAGCGTGATGGCTCTTGAATTGAAACTCAAGAAAACCGGGCGCTTGGTTTACACTGCTCGTGCTACGTTCTACCATACGCCTGTTGCAAAATTATGATTCGCATGTCAAATCTCTCTATTTGTTTACCCAAATTTGTACCTCGTTGGCACATTTCTATTGCATATCTTGTCAATTTTTACGACTGCCTCCCATGTCGCATTTCTATTGCATAATGTATTTTGATAATACGGACATAAGATCCGTAGAGAATCTAGTCTTATATGTGATTTAAGTGCGAAATAGGTTATCATTTAATAACATTGGAGCTAATTATATGTACGCTTATGCATACGAAAACAACGTTCTCTACACGAGTTTCATATCCCCCAATCTCCCCTAGCGCAAGAAAAGGTTGGGAGATGTGGGACGTGCAGCCAAGACACTACAGTTTACTGGTATGTAAACAATGTATCTTTCATTTCAAGCTTACGGATCTTCGGCATTCCCTCGAAACAAAGTACAAAACTAATGCAACCAACAATTCCTGAGGACCTTCCGAACCTCTTCAGCTGCCAGCCTTTGTTATTTCTGCCACGGGCTTGCAGGCCAGGTCCATCAATCGACGTTTATTGCAACGCGTGAAGCTCAAGAAATCTTCCTCACTTGGGTAAGCAGCAGCAGTACCAGAAGAAGACAATGCATGGGCAATTTTGACATACCGTAGTTTGAACTTGGAACGGAGTGGGGAGCAATTGCAGGGGTGTATACCGGTGTATGTCATGTCCAAAGACTAAATATTTGTTACCTATTGCACCTTTGAGGCTGCCATGTAATCACGGGCTATATCATCCATACGATGAGTCTGAAGACGACTTGGAGAAGAAGATGAAAGTGGTTATCGTACAGTTTGTGTATTGAAGTTGAGACGGCTTAGCCTTCAAATTAGTATTCAAAGAGTTGCTTCCTCCTGTGATAATGGAATACGATACTAATCGGGGAGACCTTGCCGACTTGATTGGAGCTTTTTATGTTTAATGCTGCTGCTGCTTTGGAGAGAAGTGAAAGGTTGAATGCGGGAGACCAATTCCTTAGTAGTTAAAGTCCCTGGCCAAACAGAGGGTCTTTGAACCTTTTGCACCAAAATAATATACACTGACAAAACATTGCAAGAGAAAACATGGCGGAAACCGCCCAGCAACCTAAGGCTTCGCAATTTTGCATCAACTCTAAACCTTCACTTTCATCCTACAGCACCAATATGGCGGAAAGTAGCACTACTTCACGACCAATAATAATCGTGATTGTCTGAAAATCCTAATTTGTGATTTTCAACTTGGAAGTTTCATCCTAAGCCTGTTTTTCCCCAATCGGATTAATGGTTGCTGACATTGCCTCAGTACAGGGTCACTTGATGTAGGAGACTTGCAACCTACCTACATTCGGACTATGAAAATATGGCATTAACAAAGGCCTCTGGATCAAACGGTTGGAGGTCTTCTACGCCTTCACCAACACCCACAAACTTTACAGGGATGCCGAGCTCATTCACCACACCGACCTAAAATAAGATACAACCTTATAATTAGTGAAGGCTGAAAAAGAGACTTGAGAATTAAGCCTTGAAAATAACAGAAGCTACACCAATAACTCAATTCAAAATTGAAAACTATATGGGACAGAAGATTTGAACATACCACACAGCCTCCTCTAGCAGAACCGTCAAGTTTTGTCAAAATCAAACCAGTTATACCAACAATCTGTCACAATATGTACAAGGCAAACAATCAAAACACAAATGAAGTGGCACAAAGAGTTAGAGTACAGATTAAGGGCAAGATATTCAATCAAATATCTATGTTCTATTCTAACTGACAAAACTGGAATATAACATGCTGCATCCAAAACACGAAAGGGAACAAACTTAAACACTCTTGTGACAAACTAGATCATGCGAAGAATAATCAACCATCTTAATCCAGAAGGTAAACAATAAGAACATTACTTCATTGAATTCTCTTGATTGCGGAAGCATGTTTAAACCCGTGGTCCCATCCAGAACTCGTAGGATCTCCTGCATGTATTAAAAGAAACATAGATAGGCACATATAGAAAAAGGTGTCACAAGACAGATTGTATGGATTTGGAGAAGTTACTAGATATCTCACAGAATAAACCGGGCACATACAAATCAAAGAATACACGGATGGATATGGTAGTGGCAGGCATGAATAGATAGATTCACAAATCAAAGAAATGAAAGTATGAAGTGTTAATAATTTGAAATATGGCATAAAAAGGTAAGATTTTCAGAGGCATGGTTACATATCACCAATAAACACTACGCAAAAGGTTTGAGAGCATGACAAAGTAGTTAAAAGATGTTCCTTGTTTTCATCCAATAGAAGGTCTCTGGTAAATACAATATCTCTAACATTTTCCTCAGCTATCACTTTACCAGACTTGATTTTACCATTCACAGTATCCTATTCATGGACCCATATTGGTTCCAAGGACGCAACTGCATCATCTTGCAAGAACTATTTTTCGACACGATACACTATCAAAGAACATACTATACTCAGAATTATTCTGTTCAAGGGGAAGTATATGCGCTCACATGCCTAGATTTTCAAACTGGATTATAGAAAGATGATAAAAGTGTCCAACGGCTGAGCTTACAGTAGGAGCACCAGGCATGACTTTGGTCACAGCTTTCTTGCATGCAATCAACTCTTCCATCAAGCTGTAATTAGTGTGCAGACCTGAAGTTATATACATTAAGTGCAGATGAATCAGCTAAGCTCACAAATTTACATAAACAGTTCAACAGACGTATGAAAGGTTCTCGAACAAACTTACGTCCAGAGGTGTCTCATAAGACAATATCATACCCTTGTTCTTTCCCTCTCTTCACAGCCTGAGAAATAACTATTCAGAAAGCACTTTAAGACTATATGTCAGTAGTTACACCATGTCAACTGAAAAAGAAAATAAAATTTCATCTGTCTGTCCAATCCAAGTTGTCTACCTACCTGATGCTGCTTTGGCCTTCTCTCTCTCAGCCACAACAATCTCACACCCAGTCCTCTCGGCCCATATCTCCAGCTGATCACATGCAGCTGCTCGAAAGGTATCCCCTGCAGCCATTAATACCTGGCCAATTTGAAACCACAAATGGATTTAGACCACAAAGCCACCGAAATAAGAATGTTTTACTCGCAAAGGACGAAGCCAACTCCTTGCAGCCAGGACAATCAACAGATGAAAATGTCACACCTTTGCCCCTCCATTCTTCAATCTATAAGCGAGCTTTCCTGCATGAGGAGAGTTGATCAGATCATTATCAATCTTAATGGGTCCTCGATCACTTAAACCACAGATAGCTGAAAGTATATTAAAGAAAACAGTCCGCAAATATTGGATTTTTGTAGTGATGTGTCACTGACTCACTATGAAGTTCGGATTAAAGGTTTCTTAAACTTGAGTTCATGTCCACTAAGTTTTCCCAAATATGCATGCCGTCAGATTAAATAGGCTGGAAATCAAAATGTGTCTTAAGACATCAGCAGAGAGCGCATGATACGAGCCTAGTTCTATTCTTACCAAGAGATGTTTTCCTGCGTCCATTAACGCCAACAATCATAACCACAGCTGGTTTCCTGATAACACAACAAATAATAACCACAATTAAACTCTAAAGCTGGACACAACATCTAAAACTCGAGAAAGCTCATCACCTGTATCCGAGTTGAAGTTCGGTTTTCCCTTTAGTAGTTAACAAATCGAGCACTCTTCTTCAACACATCCTACAAACATCCCGATCCCGATACCACATTATTACATTTTACGTGCATACCAATTAACTTAAGTTTAACAAGCGCTCCATTCGATTGATCAACCAAATTTATATACCTAACTCCGATATAATTGGAAGAATTTCGGTACTTTTTGGGGAGACAATGTTAATGTTCTTGTCAGCTGTTAGGATTTACCTTAAGTTCACTTCCAGATTTCAGCTTCCCAGCAACTATATCCTCCCTCAAACTCTCCACAATCTTAATCGTGATTTTCGGCCCGAAATCGGATACCAGCAGAGCCTGAAACCTAAAAGAACATACTTAATACATTTTCCCCGGAAAATTGAGGGTAACTTTTTCCCGAGAAACAAACAGGGATAAAAAGAAAACCTCTTCGAGTTCGTCGAGGACTCGATCGGTGTCGGCGAGGTACCAGTAGAGCAAGAGCTCGTCGACGACAGCGAGATTATCGCAAGTCTTTAAGAATCCCGAGAAGAGCTTCTCCACGTCGCTGTTGGCCTTCTCCTTGATAAGCCTGCCGAGCCGGGTGAAGAACCCGGGCTGCCCCGCCGGGCATTCGAATCGGAAATGGTCGGGTATGCTCGGGGAAAGGAGAAGGCGGTGGTACTGAGGCGGTGAAGTTTTGGAGAGGAGTGAGAGACGAGGAGGGTGAGAGGACGGCAAAGGCGACGCCATTGCTGTTGAGCCCTCGGAGCTGAGGTTGGATTCTTTTTCGGATATCAGATAATGCGGTAAATTTTGCAGTGGGTCATCTCTTCTGAGTTGGCGCTTTCGGAAACGGCGTCGTGTTAGGCGGGAAATAATTTTAAAAGTATATATCAAATTAAATAAAAGTCACAGAGTAGACCGTTTTGCGGGCGTTTGCCTGAACTATTTCCTCCGACTCAGCTGTTGTTTCGCTTTATCTTTGCTTCCCTGACTATCTAATAAAATGATATGGGTTTTTATCATAAATGGTCCTTAAAATTAACTCATCTTATCAAGATGGTCCCTGAAATTCAAAATCGATAAGTGTAATCCTTGAAAATGGACGTCGCAAAACAATGTGGTTCTTCCGTCACAATTCTGTCAAAAATTCTGTTATATGCTGATGTGGCACATAAGTAGGTTCCACAAGTCTAATTAAATATTATAATGTGGAAAAAACAAAAGAAAAACAGAAGTTGGTTGTCGTAAAGAACAAAGCAAGAAGCCTCTGCAGCTGCCCAGAACCCACCAAATCAAGTTGAGGGATTTTTTCTGTAGAACTTGTCACCTGTTTCCAATTTCCACAAAGATCCAGTTGGGAACTTCAATTTTAAAATCCTAACACAATCTTTGAAGGAAAAATTCTTTAATTTCAGAGGAAGAATATAGCTCTATTTTTGTTTATTGTGAA